GCGAGCCTGGGTGTTAGTGAGTGTATCAAGGCAATAATTCGTGGATTTAACCTTCGTGTTTATGGATAAAGCAGTAAATCCAAATACCTGAACCGTCAAAACGACAAAAGTGGCTCCTCATCAATCATCGTAATACATAGCCTCCCTCCTCTTTTGAGCGCGGTCGTCGGCGCTTCCGCGGGTCAACCTCCCGCGTCAGCCATCACAACGTAGTCGGTGCTTCAAAGAAACACCCACAAGTCGGCCATGCCAGTCATCAAATTAACGTGCAACTGAGGAGATACTTGACCGCAATGTCGCTAATCCCTCTTGGCATTTTCACTGAATCTAGAGTTTCGTCCGATGGGGGAACTTGATTCAGGAACGGGGAATTGTGCTGGCTATCATGCGTGCCCATAGACAGTTGTAGGAACACCGGCCCAAAAGCAGATTTGCGTAAGGAAGGACGGGAGTTAATAAAGGTTCATGGGAGAAGGGTTTCGCGTCTGTTCCTCCTTGCCACGTTGTTCCCACTTTAGAGCTACCCATGCTCTATTCAGCTACTAAAGAAATGAAGGAGGTATCGAAAATCCACTCTATCAACAGCTTATTTTAGGTACGGTGGGAGGAGTCCGTAACGAAACTTCCAGACGGTTCATGGCCAGTGTTGGTTCGGTTGTTAATGGCTTTCCTGCAGAACAAGGACTGGAATGCATGCCAGGGACAGAAGTCAATTTCAACTCCTCTGATTGGGGGCATCACCATTCACCCATCCATAGCACATGTACTTCTGCTCGGCCAAGGCTTATCACGCAGCAGTGAAAATCAGGATAGATATCCTCTAGGATCGGGCTCGCTTTCCACTGCCATAAATGTAGGACCCTGAGACTTCCTGAAGGCGAAAAAGGACATAATAATCGAGCAGAACGTATATATTCAGCACAGAAAAGGTATTTGGGCTACTAGCATGGCCGAAAGGCCAGCCTGAACGGCATAGTACAGGGCTAACTCAAAAGTGGCCCCTCGCCAATGCCGAAGGAAACACAACCATCGCATTATACAGTATTATTTTCAGCTACTTTGTTGTAATGCATTTTTCTTCAAAAAAATCAAAAATTGGATTTTTAAAAATAAATTTTAATAGTGGACAATTACAGGTGATACGGTGCACATTTTGCAGCATAGCATTGCGTCACCTTTGCATTACTAATGTAAAAACTGCATAAATGTGTTATATTTTATTGCACTATTATTGATTTCTAACTGCGTACATTATTTTGGTGGTTGATATTGATGCTTTTCGCCGCCGATCAAACAACAGCCTAATATTATATTCGGTGGAAAAAAACAGTTGTATTTTTAAAATTTATCTTACACATTCCTCATATTAATTAGTATTATCACCAGGTGGTGTTAAGTTATTGTACATTTATTATTTGTAACTGTATTATACTTTACTGCCGATTATTTTTTGTTGTCGTTATTATTACTTTATTGTCACTAGATAATATAGTATCTGGTGGATGATAAAGATCATGCTTGCCTAAAGACCCGGAGGCGTTAGATTCCTTGCCTAGACCAGAGAATTTGTTATTGGCAGTAAGTTGTCGCGCATTGGAGATGGTGTCACTCGGCGTTCTCTAAGTATTATGTGTGCCCTTTGTTGTTATGTTTGCTATCGCGCACCATTGTTGGCCACAGTCTCTGTCATGGAACCGGGTGCGTATATCAATCCGTCTTTGGTCTCAGAGTGAGTTGGCACGTGATGATGTCTCACTCTCCTACGCAGGTGTTCTCGGGAAGGAGATCCCACGCTACTCAGACCAAAAGTAGATAAATAATAATTGAATGCACCCGGACACCTCCAACTTTATGGATGGTAAAAGTCTTGTAGGATATACCACAGTAGCTTGTCCAAAACTTCGCCATTGAAAAACATATTTTCTGTAGGTTTCGCACCTTCTTTCAAGTAAACAACGAATGTGAAGGTCAAGTAAGTCTATGGCACCCCCATGATGGGGTGATTAACCACGCCAAGTTGAAACCACCTTACGAGATTAGGCGATCATGCAGTTAGCGATTCAGCAGCACTTTGTGCTCTTTCAAATACTCGTGCGTTGGGAGAAAGGGTCTCTAAAAGCAATGCTTTGAGAGTAACAACATCCTTACAAAATAAAAATGTCAGATTTTACGCAGACTGTGCCAGGATTCGAAAGGAGCATCCTCTGAGAGCTTCTTTAGTTACGTAACACTGCATCTCGATTAGTGGTTGGTGGGACTCCTCAAGCCCTTCTCGGTAACCTCTGACTCTTCATTTGCTTGTCTGCAGCCTAATTGCTAATCGTAATGGTTCAAGAGCGTCATTGACAGGCCTCCAAGTTTGATGATTTGCCAAGTTGAACATGATATCCAACACATGCGACAACTCTTATCCACAATGTGGTTCAGTGTGTCCTCTTATTCACTCACCTCTCCAGGGAGAATACTGAGAGAGATGACCTCGTCCTCGTATCCGCTACCGCGTACTTCACGCCCCCCAATCTGCTAAACACATTCAAACCCCCAATTACTTACTCCCCATGCAGAGAACACGCTACCTCTACTGCATTCTTTTGAACCCAACCAATCCGTCTGCTACATCATTTAGCACAACCAGCTACCAGATGTCGAAGTTGCAATCACTCGACGTTGCTGATGACCCCATTAACAGAGCGAACAAGCCTAAGAATGAAATAAATGGGACCTGATCCCTCCTCACACATAGCTTTCCCCTTACCAACTGTCAAATTTCAGCTACACCTTTTAGTTGAAAGTGGACTCAAACACGCGTTGTGTGGCACAGAAAGCAGTGAGCATCAATGGAAGTATTGTAAATGGAAACACGAGTATACCAACATTGTAAAAAGTGAACCACATTAAAGGCGCCGAAGGAGAAGGGACTACTGATGCTGTCGGAAGAAGTGAATGATGTCGCGGTAGATGTATGAGGCAGCATCTACGCCCCAAACGAAGTCGAGGTGGTTGTAGTCCGGCAAGTAGACGTCGCGCATTTGAGCGTCCCGGCCCCGAGAAAGCTCGGTCAAGATGCGACTAATGTCTCGTGGCGGCGCCAGCCAATCTTGCCCACTCCAGTATACAGTCACTGGCAACCCCACTGCATCCAACCCATAGGGTGGTGGGGTCGTCCGATTGTACTTCACCATGTTCTCTGCAGCCCCAAAATCGAAGGTCTGGAAGCAGCCTTGCCACATCGCCTGCACGATACCATCAAATGTGCTACATCGGCAACCATCGCAACTTTCTCTGATCAAGTAGCAGGCTGCCAAATTTTGACAAGATTTTGAAACCAATGTAACACACTATAAACAAATTGTGGACAGACAGAGTTGGCACTATGCAGGCGCAAAGTCTACCTCCTTGTGGTGCATATATGAATGTACTCGCTTCTAACAAGGCCTCCACTTCAAGGCAATGCGCACATCCTCAACTGTCTTAAATGGATGCGTTTAAGACGTATAATATGACGCGGCCGTGTGAAGGCATTCAACAAGTGACCCGAGTTCATTACCTGGCAATAGTGAACCATATTTTGAACCGAGGTTCCCACCGGCGCATGCGCAATATAAATTGGCAGTTGAGTCAGATAAATATACTCACCCATATTGAGCAAATTGTTTTAAGATAGCTTATTAGAACGTGACCACAAGTAGCCTGATTACTGACTTCTTATGGCGTAATGAAGGGAGATAATGTGGCGGAAGCATGCCCTCACCGAATCCATATTACGCGTGTCATAGCCTGCGACTGGAGCGAGCGCTGCCAGCGTAGACACACGGCCACGAAGTCTCGAGTCACTGTTCACCTGCGCGAACGCAATTTTCGCACCCTTGAGTGAGAGACAGGAAGAAGATTTGTTGACCTCCTTGCCAATTCATTGCAACAAGATTGGACACGCCACACGTTGAACCCCCACCTGGAAATGTCCCACGTAGAAAATCTTGTCAACCTTCGTTTCGTTGATGATGAATTCAATGGATGCGGGAAGGTCATACATAGCCATTTCGTCCCAGGAAAACGTCCAGAATTTGTCGTTACTGGTATGCGGGTATGCATGCTTTTGGGAGTAGGTGCTACCTCGACTATTCCCCAACCACACATCGAAACCCGCGTCGGCAAGAATGAATCCCAAACTCTCGTTGGCCAGGTTATTGATCCAAGTGTGAGCGGAGTCGAGAAGGCCGTGTTGCAGAAGCACCACGTTTCTATTGCCACTCATTGATATCGGAGTTTTCGTGCGAATACGATGAAGGGTGAGGTAATAGCCGTCTCCAGTTTTAACAATGCATTCATTTCAATGTATTCATTCAATCTAAAACTGACTGTCGATCTTCCCCGAAGAGTTGTAAAACATTGAGAGAAGTGGTTAGCCTTCAGCTTCATACGGAGATTAATAAAGCTTGCTTAAGTGGGTAAGAATGGTGATGAACAATGAGATTAGAACCACTTTACTCTCCCAAAGCCAGGATTATGCCCAAGCTGCCCTGTCCTTGAGAATGCAAGGAGCATAAAGAAGGACTTCGCATTGTGCTATGTTATTTAATTTGGTAAGGTAAGCAATCGACAACGGTGCTCGTTTGGCAAAGTGTCTGTCTTGTTGCCATCTGATGCAGTCGTTCAAATGAGGGGATAGCTAGCCATTGTAGCGATTCCACACATGTTTCCCTTGTCTCTGGCCATCCAAATGTATCCCCTTTGTCCCCATTGCTCACCCCAACTATTCTTCACGATCCAGTACTTCTGTCGAGTCTTGTCAGCATCGTAACCAACCACCAACACGGCGTGATCCAGGTCATTCTCCGAGCAGTTGTTGTCCTGGTAGATGCCTTTCCTGTAAGAGAGAGGAAGCATTAAGTTAATCGTGCTAGCAGATAAATGAAGAATTTGCAGTTGTTGACTCACTTATAGAACATGAAACCCAACGAGCTGGCGTCGATGGCGACAGAAACAGGGCCAACTTTGGCAACGCTGAGTTTCAATTGGTCCTCACTCTTCTCCGGCACTTTGACGAATTTCGACACCTTGGTAATCACCTTGGAGCGATCGAACTCGCACATTCCATTCTATCACAACGTTAGAGTGACCAACATTAATGTAACTGATGGATAAGTGAAGGAGTATGATCGAGTAGTATTGATAGTAAATTCAGCATGCATGACTGGTATATGGGTTAGCAAATGACAGGTAGTCTGTGCACTGCTCGGTACCTATTGAGGTATTACGAGTTGGTAAACAATGCAATACAGCAGGCTTGAATTGTGTCTGACAGCACATTTTGCACAAGCGATGTTTACGGTCAGTCATTGTCAAGGCATTAAGGTGTGCCACACCAACAGAACACCAAGCTCAGTCCAAAGCTCTGTAGTGGCGTTCAGGTCATCACGAATGCCTCCAACTATTAAACAGTGAGCCAGTGGAAAACACTGGTGTAAATTTCACTTCTCTTTAACCAAATAATGGCATAGCACTTAATTCTTATTGGTATTCGTTGAAAGGTATGGCATTACAGTAACCAACTCTCCGGTCTTACGGTTAAGCTATATGAGGAAATAAGCTTAAATGACTGGGCAAACTGCAAAATGCGTAGCTGCTTATCGTTTAAAGGAAAATCCAAAATATAAACCAAATTCAGGGTGTTTCAATCTTTACCAAAAGTATACACTTAAAGACGCTGTGGCGAAGCGATTGGCAGGTTTGGTGGACAAGCATTATGCCCGAAGACTCTCAAATTGTCACATCACAGTCCTCCTCTCCACTAAACGCATTGATGTCTGGCTATACCCGCATACACCAAAACCTCAGACCCATTCGATCTCTTTAGCGGCACGAGTTTAAGTTGATAATCTCGAAAACGACTACTTTAGGCAGATGATAGAAATGACGCTTGACCTAACCCGTTGGCTACCGGTGTCGCGTATTTGTGACGTCCGGATTCCCCTACCAGAGTCTGAACGACACATGTATGTGACACATGTTCTTTGCCAGTGTGGAATAGCTACTAGGTGTCCAATCTGAGTGGTGGAGCTAAAGCAATAATGTAGACACGAGGGTTACTAGTGGTCTGGAAAGGGCTTCACACATCCTAGTTCTGAACAGGAGCGGAACAGGTCAGTCAGGGGCATTCAGTGGCGTATGAGAACAATGAAATATTTAGCTTACCCCTAGTTTAAATAATGCTTCGTTAGATCATTCTCCTCATCCCCCAAATGCAACAATCACTTGCCTTGGCTCAACACAAAGCATAAGCCAATTTCACCTACCATTGCAGTGTAGGGATAATCTCTTTCACTCTCCGCTCCATTTTGCATCCAATATTGGAAGGCATCATTCAT